ACACAAAATAATGTTCTTTTTAGCAACATCATATGACCCCTTTAAGACAAATTATAAATTAAATGGGTCCTTTTATTATTGCTTGGACAAAATGCTGCACATTTCTTTGTGAAATTAAAATATAACTATAATAATATACTAATATAGCACTTGCATATTATGGCTCTTTTGTTGGTTTTGATTGCTTCTATTGTCCTCATTTGTATGGTGATATTTAACTCTGTATTACAAAAAAAAAAAATGGAAAAATTGTGACAAGCAGTGCACATGTATTTTGCCTTTATTTCTCTTTTTCTTTCATTGCAAATATAGGTTATATAGGTTATGTACTGTAAGCCAATTTGATCCCAAACCAACTAAATCTAGGTTAAAATTGCTACATGATTACACATTCTGGCATATTTTGTTTTCATTTCTTTTATGAGCATTGCTATTAAATATTTATTGCTTAAAAAAAATTTTTCTTTAAATGTTTAGACATGCTCAAATTGTAGTACCTGGGTTACAAAAATCACATACCACATAAAAAATAAAAAAAACCTCATAAAATTTAGTTTCATCATCCGAAAGGTTTCTAAATGATGCCCACCTGCTTTCACTGATTATTTATTGAAAAATAAACTTTTTTAAATTAATTTAAAAAAAGTGTGTGTGTGTGTATATAGAATTTATTTAATTATTCATTTAAAAAATATATATTTTTAAGAGTTTCAGGCTTTATTTTGTAACCTGATCGGGAAAATCTTACTATCCAGTACTATACAGTCCCTGGTTAATTATGAATTATCATTATAGTATTTACCGTTGGCAAGCAGGTACTGCACCAGATCTTCATGTCCACAGAGACATGCATAATACCTGAAAATAAAGATGGAGTGATATCAGGGGCTTCATCATAACGGACATAGCAGACAATAAAAAGAAATAACCGAGCAGTCTTACAGAGGTGTGCTGTCCCACTTATCTCTGATGTTTAGTTCTACATCCCTCTGTTCAACCAGGTATCTAGAGAAGATGGGAGAAATGCCAAGATAAAGCAGAGACTAGATATATTACAACCAACATAATAATAAAACATTCAGAACCGAACATAGAGCATCACACAAGAAACTGAGTACAAACTGAGTACAGTAATTCCAGTATATGGGTCAATACAGTGACAACATGTTATCAGTCACACTCACATGCTTGTCCTTTTAATTCTGAGGTCGCATAGGGTGTCTCAATATTTCACAACATTACTGCCAAACAAAATGCCACTGAAAAACAACCCTGATATCTTACGGAGTTACAAGCATATCCATCAACCAAAGGTGTTTGAAAAGCATAATTCTACACTGCAATGTAACGCCACCTTGACTGCTGAACGTACAGCATCTATATAATAAATATGCCATTATGCACAATTGCTTAGACATGCACATACATTAGGTTATATAGTCTATACACAGTTGCTTAGATTTGCAAATACAGTCTCCAAACACTACATAAGCCTTGCACATTGTGTTACATATGCATATACTGACAACACTGGTCATGCACATTTGTGTATGAATATCATAGACTGTATAAAAACATGGACGTAGTGTCCGTGACGTCACCCGTAGGTTTCTGAAGAGCGGTTTTGAAGCTCAAAGTGGGCGGAGCCGGCCGTCTCCATCTTGGCAGCGCGTCACTCCCGGATAATCGAAAAGGGGCAAAGAGGCGGGAGCTGGTTGCTGAAACCACGCCCACCTAGCTCGACGGTGGTGACAGCAGCGGCAATCCACCTGTCACTCAAGTGGCCACGCCCTTAATTATGCAGAACTTTAAGGCTTAATATAATTTAAACGGATGAGTTATCAAAAAATTCACCCCCCTCACAGTTGTCATGAAGGGCAAAATTAGCTATATAGACCAAAATCTTTTTTTTGTACCAGGCTGTAAACATTTTTTTCTGCTGTAAAGTTGGGCATTTTAACATGGGGAGTCTATGGGATTGACTCCCTTATGGAGCCAGCCTCTAGCGGCCAGTCGATGAATTGCAGTTTTAGTCACTTCCGTGTTGGCTTCACGAGAGACCGGAAGGTTGCCGCTTGATGAATATACATAGGCCATGCAAATTGGTTTATATATACATATGCTGTCTCAAAAGATTAAATAGGAAATGCATGTATGAACAATTATGAATAAAGAGCATTTTATTTTCTATTTAATTAAGAGATTGTATAGGCTGTGCATATTTACTTCTATATTCATATTCTGCATCTAAAGACAATACACGTCAAGCAAATGTGTTCAGATATGCATATGCAATATCCACACACTATAGACACATTTGCTTAGATCTGCACAAATATATAAAAATAGGTTTACATGAGTACATACAGCATTTAAACAGATTTTTATAGATATGAAATGAAAACTTTTGTTTTAGATAAGCATATGTAATGTCTAAAATTACTTAATACAAACACGAAAAGCATTGTTTAAATATGCATACGTGGTGTACGTATATTGCACATGCACATTTGCTTAGGTAAGCGTATGCATATACAGTAAGTCTATAATATCCACGCAATTTTGTTTAGATGTGCAAACAGATATGCATAGATTATGAAGTCATGTATATTTGTTTAGTTATGACTAAACAGTATCTACAGACATATAGGTCATGTACACTTGCTTGAATATAAATCAGAGTCTAGAGATTACGTACTAGGCTGTGTAAATTAATTTCCATATGCATATTCGGTATCTCGCGTATATCTATCTGCTCTGTATATATGCATATCAAATATCTTAACAAATAGACCATGCATATTTTCCCACATGCGAAACTTCAAACCAAAACAACAACAAGAAGCCATCAGCTGTCTGACCTCACTCTGGCAATGTCGCCCTTTCTGCAGCTTGAAAACAGATCAACAGCGTCCATCTGCGCGGCGGTAAAGCTTCTCTGAAATGCATTGAAACGGCCCGTCTAACAGACAGGATCGGCTGCAGGAGCACGGACAGCGACGGTTCTGAACAAAACTAACGCGGAGCCTGTTTCCAGGTGCAGTTTGCGATGTCTCCTGTTTCTTCTCGCACTGTGAAAGTGTTCAGCAAACGTAAACAGGAAGCAGATTTGTGTACGTACAGTTGAGCTTTACGTGCGTTCCAACAGCGCCCTCTGAAGGATGGTGCTGTAATAAACAAATAAAAGCGTCCTCTTGTGAACTACTATATATAAATAGTATTATTTTTTTAAATTATGAATTATCAAACACAAATTATATTTTAATTAATTTTAATTTTTGTATAGTCTATGCTACCCTAAGTTATAAAATGAAATTGAACTGGGCATTTGATTTATCATTAATGCAGGCATTTTGAGAATGTATTATTATTTTATAGTTATTTTAGTATAATTAATATACAATTATAGTTTTTGTTAATATTTTGAATTAGACTTTATTTTGATATTTTTTTAGTTAACTTTTATATTTTATGTTGTTTTTTAGTTTTAGTAATTTTGCTTTGTTTTTGTCCTTTTTATTAAATTTTAGTTTTTAGGTTTAGTTTTTTAGTATTTTTAGTTATTCGAGTACTTCAATTTAAGCTAAACCAAAATGAGAAATACTCCCTTGGCAACTAGCTGAAATAAAATAAATAAACGGATTTTAAATATATTTTATTTCAGTAAAAAAAAAATTATTTGATTTATCATTTTAATTTTGTTAGTGGAAAAACTTCATATTTTGTAAAGAAAAAAAACAAAAAACAAACAAAAAAACTCATATATATATATATATATAAGTTAATTTTTAAACAAATCTTTACTTTTTTAGATATTTATAATATTTTTATGTGCTGAGAACTCATTGCTCATTTTTCATTAAACTCAACATGGGGCTTGAATGGTTCAGACAAAAAAGAATAAGTTAGATTCTCAGTCAGCAAATTATAAATGAAAAATTTAAAATGTTTGCTTATGTACATAACAGCAGTTAAGCATACTGTATATATGCTGTTAAATCACATCTTGGCCTTCCATCATAAAAAAAGCCATTACACTATTGCAAATATACTCTTTTAAAGCCAATATCCTGCATTTTTATATGTGCATGGTAAAAAAACAAACAAAAAACCCCCCAGAAGATTTGTTTGAATAATCAATGCATTTCGTTTAGAAGCCAAAGAAATGAATGCAAAAATTATTCTGAATCAGCTGTATAGAAACAAATATTGCATTGAATCCAATTACTGTTTTGTGCAGGAGCAAATAGCACAATATGCAACCAAAAAGCAAGAAATACGTGCAAAAGCAACTCAAAACAGCACATTTAGCTAATATTGCAGCCCTACTGTATATTTTTCACATATTTTAGACAATCAGGAACAGGAAATATGTAAAGGTAGATCTCTTGAAGTGTCTGATATCTCTGAACTGAGATCTGTGAACAGTAGTTCTGCTCGTCCTGTCAGTTATGGCTGGTGGGCTGAACAGGTTTTTCAGAGTGAGGAATGCTGGTATTTTCTCATTTATATACAAATACACGCCCACCTGTCAGCGTATAAGTAGCTGAGTTCTCAGGAAACACCACTTGTCTTCCTGTCATCCCTCTGTAACGCACCTCTCCATCTCTCTGTCTGTCTGTCCGCCATGAGCTCCTCCAGCTTCAGCAGCCGCTCAGTGGGCTCGTACCCCCGCGCCGGAGCACAAATCCCCCGGCAGGGTAACTCGTATTTCGGGTTTGGGAGCGTGTCACCGGCTGTGGCCCCCATCAGGGCTGTGTCTGTTAACACAAGCCTCCTAACTCCTGTGGATCTTCAGCTGGACCCAGACCTGCAGGCTGTACGGATCCAGGAGAAAGAAGAGATCAAAACTCTCAACAATCGCTTTGCCTCCTTCATCGACAAGGTGAGACCTCTCTCTGCCTGTTATATCCTGCTCATTATATCTATCTATCTATCTGTCTGTCTGTCTGTCTGTCTGTCCGTCCGTCCGTCTCTCTCTCTCTCTCTCTCTCTATATCTTTCTGTCTGTCTGTCTCTCTCTCTCTCTCTGTCTCTCTCTCTCTCTCTGTCTGTCTGTCTGTCTGTCTGTCTATCTATCTATCTATCTATCTATCTAAGCAACTAGATCTGTTAATAACCTGTAGGAGAGAAATAGTTGTTTGTTTGTATTGATTTTTTTCTTATTTTTTCTTATTTTACTCTCAGTGGCCAGATTTGTTAATGACCTGAAGTAGAGAGAAAAAAACTATTTATTTATACCGATTTTTTTTTCTAATTTTTTGTTTTAATCTTAGCAGCTGAATGTGTTAATAACCCATAGGAGAGATATTTGTTTGTTTGTCTAGACTGATTTTTCTTATTTGTTTATTTTAATCTCAGCAGCCAGATTTGCACCCGCAGGACAGAAGTATTCATTCATTCATTCTTACTTCTCTCTCTCTCTCTCTTTAATCTCAGCAGTTAAATAACCATAGAGAGAAATATAAATGTATTTATTTGTTCTGATTTTGTTCTTATTTTTTATTTTAATCTTGGCAGACAGTATTGTTATTAATCTGCAAGAGAGAATATTTATTAGTTTATTGTTATTAAACTCTGCAAATCTGTTAACCTGTTTTCTGAGAAAAACAATGATCTCACATGTGTCTCCTAGTATCAGCAGAGATCTCAACAATGTCTCAAACTGTGCTCAGATTGGCCGAAACTATCAGAAATCTGAGATTTCAATATGAACTCCAATATTTCTCATTGCATTCTCACAAGATCAAACTTCCAAATATGAACATCCGTGTGCAAGGGACGCCATCTAAAATTCAAAAGGCAGCTATATATTTTCATGTATAAAGGCTCAATTTATACAGTGAAAAATGTATTTTATAAAATGTCTAAAAATATTTAGAGAATATTTAGGTGCACTGTTATTTATTTATTTATTATAAGCAAATATTTATTATTTCTTTTAATAAAAATAAATTTTTAATCAAATATTTATTTATTTCATTTAATCTTAAATTTATTACTTATTTATTTTTTACATTTTCTGCACTGCTTTTCTCCAAACTTTTCCACAAACCCCCTAGACCGCTGTCTGCAAATCTGTTAACCTGTTTTCTGAGAAAAACAATGATCTCACATGTGTCTCCTAGTATCAGCAGAGATCTCAACAATGTCTCAAACTGTGCTCAGATTGGCCGAAACTATCAGAAATCTGAGATTTCAATATGAACTCCAATATTTCTCATTGCATTCTCACAAGATCAAACTTCCAAATATGAACATCCGTGTGCAAGGGACGCCATCTAAAATTCAAAAGGCAGCTATATATTTTCATGTATAAAGGCTCAATTTATACAGTGAAAAATGTATTTTATAAAATGTCTAAAAATATTTAGAGAATATTTAGGTGCACTGTTATTTATTTATTATAAGCAAATATTTATTATTTCTTTTAATAAAAATACATTTTTAATCAAATATTTATTTATTTCATTTAATCTTAAATTTATTACTTATTTATTTTTTACATTTTCTGCACTGCTTTTCTCCAAACTTTTCCACAAACCCCCTAGACCCCAGTTTGAAAACCCCTGGTTTGTGACATGTCATAATTCGTCTAAAACCATTTTAAACGTGTTTTTTTTTTGTAATTGTTAATCAAATATTACATGTAAAAAAATTTATTTTAAAAATGAATTTGTCACACCACAGAACCCTTCAGCAACAAATATATATATACATATATCATGTAAATGTCATAATTGTGCATATACCGGTGTTTTTCCCCACAGTTTGACTTGATCTCATCGCAAGCTGACCAGTGCAACACTGAGCTGAAAGACAATAAAGGTGCAATAGCTGATTTGAAAAGACAGATAACGCGACTGCAAAAAGAGATAATCTCAGCTAAATCACAGGTAAGATAATACTCAACATCTGTTCATTATAGCAACTATTGGTGTCAGCTATTGAACACCAGGGTAACCATGAGCATCCGCAGTAATTGCACTGATAACTAAAGTGACGTGACATGTAGCCAAGTATGGTGACCCATACTTGGAATTAGTGCTCTGCATTTTAACCCATCCAAAGTGCACACACACAGCAGTGAACACACACACACCGTGAACACACACCCGGAGCAGTGGGCAGCCATTTTTTGCTGCGGAGACAAGTACAACTTTCTGTACTATCACAAATTGGATCTTTAAAGCCCAGGGCTGTAAATGGAAACAGTGACCCTTTACCGCAGTATTAATTCTCTGACATCATTACAGCGTGAGAGTGTGGAGGAGCAAATCAAAGAGGCGGGGCGTTGGGGTGAGGAGGCGGTGCTTGATGCAAAAGAACAAATCAAATCGCTGGAGGACGCATTGCAGAAAGCCAAACACAAAATGACCAGACATATTCGAGACTACCAGGAACTGATGAATGTCAAACTGGCTCTGGATATTGAGATTGCCACCTACAAGAAACTGCTGGAAGGAGAAGAGGACAGGTGAAACTGTAAAGCTTAAGCAATTAACTGAGAGCTTACTTAATAAAGTATTTTACTTATATGATTATTTTTAGTATTATTGTTTTTTATATATATATATATTATTTATATTATTATTTTAGTATATGATTAATCTATTATTTATTATTATTATTTAAACATTAAATTTTTATTGCAATGTATTAATCATTTTATTTTAAATGTTTTATTATATTTATCATTATATAAATTATGAATTAACTGAATAAGTGGTCAAAAGTAGGTATAAGTGAAAGGTAAGAAGATTTCAGGTAATAACTCAACAAATCTCCTTCCCATCAGGCTTGGACGATAATCCACTGTAAGCATCCATCCAGCCCATAAACCCTAATGAACAGCAAGTATCTGACTGTCTACACATTCACTTCATGTCATCCCTGCTTGTCACTGCTGAATGAAGACATTAGTAGCGAACAATTAGCAGAAAGAAGAAAATAAATAATATTTACATTAAAAAAGTTACATTCCGTTTTTTCTTTCACAACCTGCTCATAAATAAAATAATTTTGAGCTTTTTTTTTTTTTGTTCTCAATGTGTTATAATTAACTGACGTTATTGTTTTTCTTTTTGTTATATGGAGGTCAAATTATTACTATCATTATACCTTCATTAATAATTTTTGCTGCTTTTTAAATGTCCTTTATGTGTAGACTTTATTGATTTACAGTTGTCCCAGACTCTGACTTTTAATCTGAAACTATTAACATTCATTTTAAAAGTGAAGAAAATTGTAAAATGTAATTAATAATGTAAAAATAAATGTATAAATAAAAACCTATGGATTATTTAATTTGTTTAATGCAGTCTAAAATCTAAAATGGCATTAATATGTTCTGCTTTTAAGTGCATATTACTGAAGACTGCTTCAATTTACAAACGTGTATGTGACACAGTGTCATCTGAAGAATCTGAAGCTTCTTGTCATCATCTGTGAAGAGCCGTGATTAGAGGCTGGACAGCTTTGCCCAGGCCACGGTCTAAATGTAATACAGGGGTGAAGTGTGTTATTTTGTCTTCAAAGAGAGAAACAGGCCTGATAAGATTCCAAGTAAAGTAGCTACTGCAAAAACAACATCACCCCCTCAACACCTTATCCAAACACCTTTACAGATTCACAACCATGATGAAAGATAACGAATTTTGCCACTTTCTCTGTGGCTGACTGACTCCTCATATCCAAGCCAAAAAAAAACAAAAAAAAACAGGGAAAATATACAGTTAAACAACTCCAAACCCAACCCAACAAAGTAAATGAAAATGGTTAAAGACAGTTCCTGTAGCTCAAACTAGAGCATGGAGCTAGCAACGCCAAGGTCGGTTCGATTCCCAGAGAATGAACTAATGATAGTCGCTTTGGACTGAAATGCATAAATTTAAAGGGGTCATATGATGCGATTTCATTTTTTCCTTTCTCTTTAGAGTGTTACAAGCTCTTGGTGCATAAAGAAGATCTGTAAAGTTGCAAAGACTAAAGTCTCAAATCCAAAGAGATATTCTTTATAAAAGTTAAGAGTTAGCCACACCTACCTAAAACGGCTCATTCTAACACGCCCCCACATGCTGGCCAATCACAGCACACCTTGCTTTTTCAGACCGATGAGCTTTGTAAAAATCGACGCGTTTCAAAAAGGCGGGGCATAGAGGAGAAACAATAATGTACAGTATGTGGAAAATAATGTGTTTTTTTTACTTTAAACCGCATAAACACATTTCATTACACCAAATACACAAAATAATGTTCTTTTTAGCAGCATCATATGACCCTTTTAACATAAATGAACTGAAAGAAATGTTATGATGTAAATTGGCCCTAGATGGCGCTGTTTAACTTCTCTTTGCTTCCGCGTTGGTAGTCTAAACAGTAAACACACATTCAAACGGAGTCGTTTTTGTACACCTGTGATATTTTGTGTTACTGTATGTGTCTAAATGTACAACCTGTCATTTTGTAGTATGAAATTGTTCGGTCCGGATTCATTATCATAACGGGGTCTTGCAAAGTACGTAGTAATTTCATTAAAGACACACAACACTTCCTCGTTCTTCTCTGACTAAACAGCAACGAGCGTCCAGCACTATTCTTCTGCCGCCCGTGACCTTCAGGGTTTCTCACGATATCGGGATCTGCAGTCATGTGGAGCGAGATTTCATATGGTGAGCAAAAACAGTTCTGACTTTGAAACCTCTGACTGTTTGTTGTTTAGCACGATAAGCTTACGTGATAGTTTATGAGTTACAGTTCTAATAGAATTGGCCACGGGCTACAGGAAAGTATGGTAGTGTACATTTTTAATTTACTGCATTGCATCTCAAAGAAATTCAACAGAATTAATGCATTCTGGTGAATGAAGTGTACTTCCACCCTAGTAAGTCTGTCTATCTATCTATCTATCTATCTATATGGCTATAAACCTTAACTTTAGGCTTTTAAAACTTTTTTCGAAACAAGAAAACAAGCCTTGGGAGTGTACGAGCAGTGTTTTCGTCCGGCCTTCTGCTGGACGCTTTGCAATGTGTTTAAAACTCATTTCGCGAATAAAAACACCCCACCTGAGACTCTTACTCACCTGCTCAGCATTATCACACACATGCTCCTGCAGAAACCGAAGATGCATGCAGAACAAACCAGAGCGCTTGTGTCCAGTTTGGGAAAACTTACCAATCCGGTTTGCTCCTGCAGCGACGTCACATCCTGCGGCCTGCGTTCTTTTCTGCACAACCCCATGCTTTCAGCTTTTTTGGGCATCAATGGTGATGTCACTCACCCTGATGCCACATTCTCCTTTCTGTCTCCAGTGATGCATGAGTTCTTATTGGCCGCCTCCTTTTATCTCGACCAATCCGTGCAGGAGATCTCAGACAAGCGCTCAGATTTGTACTACACATTTTTAGCAGGGCTGTCGGACTCGATCCAGCGTAAACCAATAGAAGACTCCGTGGGAAAGGTCGATGAAAGCCGAATATCTGCGTTCTCTCAGTGGTTGATGGGAAATGTTTCTAGGGTGTTGCCAGATGGTGATGCAACGAAGCACTTTCGTGTTTTTCGGCTTCTGCAACATGCACGTAACTCATCTCTGGTCAAAGAAAGCATTAGTAAGAGCCAGTGGAGGCCTGTTTGGTACAGCTCCATGCAGGAGCCTGACTGCGCTGCGCTGTCATATGTAGTGAGTTGTGTGGGAGAGATGGAGCATATGAACCTGTACAGAGCAGAACTAACAGACGAACAGGTCGAGAGGCTTATACCAGCGTTACGGCTGTCGAAAAGCATTGGGTGAGTCTGACATTTTAGATATGCACAAGATGCATTTTTTACTTTTATAGCTTTAATCACTCCTGACTGCCTCACACTCAACTTATGGCACTTACACTACATTATCAATGTTGAAAAACGTTTTGCTGCTTGATATTTTTGAGGAAACTGTGATGACTGACTTTTTTCAGGATTCTTTGATTAATAGAAAGTTCAGAAGGACAGCATCTATTTGAAATAGAAATCTTTTGTAATGTTAAAAATGCTTTACTGACACTTTTGATCACTTTAAAACGATGGGCCCAATTTTTCAGAGGATTTTTATAGAAAGAAATGTGATGCGTATACATTTATTAAAACATTTACAACCTTGAGTATTATTTGATATGCAAAATTGTTTGTTTCTTTGTTTACAGTCGTTTTATGGTTTTATGTTGTTATGTTTTAATGGCAATGAAAAGTGACTGTAAATGATCTACTGTAAAAATGTGTATCTATGTTTTTTGTGATCAACTTGGCAGCATATAAATTGTCCTTTTAAAGGATAGTTCACCAAAAAGATATATTCCTTTACTCACGACGTTCCAGACCCTTTAGGACATTATTTCCTCTGTGGAACACAAAATAAGATACACTACCATTCTAAAGTAATATTTTTTTAATGTTTTTGAAAGAAGTCTCTTATGCTCACCAAGGCTGCATTTATTTGATAAAAAATACAGTAAAAGCAGTAATATTGTGAAATAGTTTTACGATATAAAATAACTGTTTTCTATGTGAATATATTTTAAAATGTAATTTATTCCTGTGATCAAAGCTGAATTTTCAGCATCATTACTCCAGTCTTCAGTGTCACATGATCCTTCAGAAATCATTCTAATATTCTGTAATATATACAGCTATATATAATATTTGCTGCTCAAAAAATATTTCTTATTATTATCAATGTTGAAAACAGATGTACTGCTTTATATCTTTGTGGAAACAGTGTTGCATTTTGTTTTTCAGGATTCTTTGATGAATAAAATTCAACAGTGCAGCATTTATTTGAAATAGAAAACTTTGTAACATTATGTCTTTAGTGTCGCTTTTGATCAATTTAAGGCATCCTTGATGAATAAATCTATAAATATTAAAAAAAAAAGCTTACAACACCAAATTTATTTTAAAAATTCAGTTTTTTGTCCATACAAATTAAGTCAGTGGGGTCTAATGTGCCATTTATATTGTCAGTCTGTCACAGAGTCGTCTCAGTTTGACTGCCATCACCAACCTGTCAACAGCGCTGGCTGAGGGACGGACGATAACGCTGGATCTTTCACAGTCCACACTGAAAAAAGAGTTGGTCAAAACCCTCTGCCATGCACTCACGCGCTCCACGCTGGAGTCGCTCAAGTAAGATTATTTTTTATGTACGTGCCTTTATTAGACAGGACAGCATCATATTAGGAATGAGACTGTGACTCAAACCTTCGTCTTTTATGTGGCTGTGCCACAGTAATGTACTTTTTTGATACACTGGGTTAAATAATTTTTAAGGTGACCATACTTCCACATTTTCCCAGACATGTCCTGGCCTGGGATTTCTAAATTGCCTAAAATGTCCAGGTTTTGGCCTTGTTTTTCTATTAACACGCTCTCTTGCAAGCCACTGTTGGTCTATTATGCACAGTGCTTGCACGCTATTGACTTTTCAGTCATAACCTTTAGCAAGTATGAAAACAGTAAGTAAACAAAGTCAAAACCTGGACATTTTAGGCAATTTGTGAATCCTGGCTAAGGAAAAAAAGGACATATGGTCACCCTAATCATTCTCGGTGCTTGCTTTTGCTCGAACACTTGCTGAAATATGTCATCTCTTTGTTCAGCTTGTGTGGATGCTCATTGACTACAGCTGATTGTGAAGCTCTGGCTCAGATGCTCTCTGGAGGCTCACGGCTGCGTGTGCTCAATCTGTGTGGGAATAATCTGGAGGATCAAGGCCTTATTCACCTCAGCAGTGCCCTGGAAAACTGCAGACTACAGGAAATCAAGTACACTTGCACTATTCATATATCAGTCAGTCTTTTTGGGAACATAGAAATGAAAGCCATGTGGTTTTGTTGTATTCTACAGTCTGGATTTATGCTCACTGACGGTGGCATCCATGCCTGCGCTGTCTTCAGCGCTGAACAGCGGCTTTTCAGAGCTGAGGAAGCTAAGCCTGAGCCGGAACGCAGTGATGGATGATGGGATAGAGCTGATCTCACGAGTGTTACAGAAAGGCCGCCTCAACACATTGAAGTAATACACACATACTCTGTTTAGGTGACCAACACATATGCCTAAAAACCACCTCTAAACACCTCGGAAAAGCAAATATCTGTTATAGTTTAAAACAGCTGTTTTCTATTTGAATATATATTTTTTTAAATATAATTTATTCCTGTGATGTGAAGCTGAATTGTCAGCATCATTACTCGAGTCTTCAGTGTCACGTGATCCTTCAGAAATCATTCTAAATCATTCTCAAGAATGTTGAAAACAGTTGTGTTGCTTAATATTTTTGTAGAAACCATGAGTCTTTGATGAAAAGAAAGTTCAAAAGAGCAGCATTTCTTTAAAATAGAAATCTTTTGTAACATTATAAATGTCTTTACTGTCACTTTTGATCAATTTAATCCATCCTTGCTGAATAAAAGTATTAATTGCTTTTAAAAAACAAATAAATTATATATTTAAGTTTGAGATGGTTGCAATTGTCTACAGAATTCAAGAGGTTAACTGCACTTATTTGAATCTACTAATAGCCATTTGTGTAAAGCCTCTTTATTGAAATACTGATTAGATATGGGATTTTGTATGATTGATCATGTGTTTTATTGTTTTAATTACAGTGTGTCTGACTGTGAGTTGACTGGCTCCTGTTGCTCCTCTCTAGCAGCTGCCCTCCAATCAGAAAACTGCCATCTGACTGAGCTGGATCTGTCCGTAAATGATCTCGGCCAATCAGGAGCGATGCAGATATGTGAAGTGCTGATGACTCCTAAATGCACACTGGAAATACTGGAGTATGTATGCAAATGAGCTGTTTTTAAACACATTTATGATGATCATGTGGGGAGGGCAGAATTGAGGCATGTTAGGTTATAATATTATTGGTTAATGTTATTTTTCCTGGGTTGGATCAGTAGAAAATACTCTAAAATTTGGGATGACTAGGATTGTTTTTTGTTGAAAAAAATCAATATAATGCATCCTTTCTGAGTAAAATATTGATAAAAAATGTCAGTAAAGGTTCAGTTCTTTTTTTATGAACTCTGGGCTACCTTTCCACCACTTAAGCACTTTTTACATGGCTGAGTTTGGCGGAGGAACTCACTATTAGAATCCATAGTATACGGTGGCCGAGAAGTGCAAAACAAATCACAATTCTGAAAACAAAATAACAAATTACAAACGCAAATGCAAGTCTAAAAAACAAAATAACAATTCAGAAAACACAACAACAATTCAGAAAACATTATAACAAGTCAGAAAACACAATGACAAGTCCGAAAACAAAATAACAAGTCAGAAAACACAACGACAAACCAGACAAACCGGAAGAGGTAGGTATAGTTTGAGACAGCGCCATTGGTTTGGGATTACTCACCGCTGACTGGACGAGACATCTGTCAATCAACGTATACAGGAAGAACCAGCCGAAGAACAGCAGAGTCGTGGTGGAAAGTTCGGAGATGGTATTAAAGTAGTTCAGTTTAAATGTATTGTATGAATTGCCCTTACTCTGGAATAAAAAATACGGGTCTATTTACATTGAGTTAAAAGTGGCTATAAAATATCAGCTCCAGTGGCACAGATGGATAAGTGCTTGTTGTTGGCTTTTTGACCCAATCGACCCGGGTTCGTTCCCGCCTTTTGCCGAACTTTTTTTTTTCTCCCTTTTCAAATCTCGTATCACATCGTAAAGGCATTTATTTTCAATAAAAATTAAGGAAATAATCAAAAAGTTGAAAATAAAGTATCGGGTAGGGTTAGGGTAGGTGTAGGTGTAGGGAGGGCTTTATTGTACCAGTAAGGTGGCATCCATTTAATAATTAAAATTATAATTTACACTCAATACGTTATTATTGCATACTGTTTTATAATGTACTACAATACTGAAGTGCAGATAATTGCCACTATTTGCAACAAGTAGTATACTTGATAGTAGAAATCCTGCTATTTTAACATAGTGTAAATAGGTATTTTCACTTAGTGTAAATAGCATATTGCTAAAAATACTGCTATTTTCACTTAGTGTAAATAGAATCCATTGCTAATACGAGATTTGAAAAGGGAGGAAAAAAAAGTTCAGCAAAAGGCGGGATCGAACCCAGGTCGATCGCGTCAAAAAACCAACGACAAGCGCTTATCCATCTGCGCCACTGGAGCTAATGTTTTATAGCCACTTTTAGCTAAGTGTAAATAGACACTCCGTATTTTTTATTCCATAGTAAGGGCAATTCATACAATACATTTAAACTGAGCTACTTTAATACCATCTCCGAACTTTCTACCATGACTCTGCTGTTCTTCGGCTGGTTCTTCCTGTATACGTTGATTGACAGATGTCTCGTCCAGTCAGCGGTGAGTAATCCCAAACTAATGGCGCTGTCTCAAACTATACCTACCTCTTCCGGTTTGTCTGATTTGTCGTTGTGTTTTCTGACTTGTTAATTTGTTTTCGGATTTGTTGTTGTGCTTTCTGAATTATTATTTTGTTTTTTAGACTTGCATTTGCGTTTGTAATTTGTTATTTTGTTTTCAGAATTGTAATTTGTTTTGCACTTCTTGGCCACCGTAATAGTATCCCTCGAGTGAACTCTCATTATGGGTTAGTGCCCCATATGTAGTGGCTCCCCTTGGTGGCCCCATATGTGTATTATTCCACTGACTTGTCCCTTAGGATTCAGTCTAGGTCTCCCCTAGACAAGACACTCGATCTGACATGAGGTTCTGTGTTTGGTAGTTCTTGGTAGTTGATTATGTGAAATCTAAGCAGTGTGTGTATTTTGGTGTAGAATGAGTAGATGTGAGCTGACCAAGGAGGTGTTTCGAGCACTGGGGAGTATTTTGACGTCTGGCGTGTCAAAGCTCGTCAGTCTCTCGGTAGGCCTGAACGATGTGGGCGAAACTGCAGCCAAACACATTTGGGAGGCGCTGAGACACAAACACTGCAAACTACAGCACCTGGAGTGAGTAAAATCCTCACACATGTGCTCACAGGAGCAACTAGCATGATTGGAGATGGGCTGAAACTAATTAAACCGCACCTGATGATTGAATCGTGCCTGTCTCGTCTTGTTTCTGCAGTCTGGAGATGTTGTCGCTCACAGACGCTTGCGTCGAGGAGTTATGTGAATCTGTTGCTGCCAGCAGCACTTTATCAACTCTCATTCTAAAGAACAACATAATGACCGACTCCTCCGTACCACGATTGGTCAAATTAATGCTGGACCGTCCTCTAATAACCGAGCTAAAGTAAGTTCAGTCTGAAAATATATTTTCAGATATTTTAGTTTTTAAATGTATTTTAAATGTTTTCATAGTTTTTAAATGTATTTTAAAATATACAAAAATGGCCATATATACATTAATAACATACAAATTTAAATATATCTATATAAATATTTTTTAAAAATTAAATAATATATTTAAAAAAATGTAATAAGTTTACTTTTAGTTTGTTTACTATTTGGTTATTTTTATTTATTTGTTTTACCATTTTTTATTTTCAGTGGAAAATACATTTTGTATTAACCCCAAAATTTATTTTAATGTTGTAAATGTGCTTTTTGTCCTTTCGCAGTACATTTTCTATTATGTTTTGGCATTTGAAATAAAGCTAAATATATTTTACATTTAAAAAAATATTTTATTATGCTGTAAAACATTTTCTACTGTACATTTATTTTGGCCAAAAAAATTGCACTTGTGTCACATCTCAAAATGATGTACTTCATGTGATAACATATTATTTTTCTCATATTTTTTCCAGTCTGAGGTATAATGACTTCAGTGAAGATGTTTTTGAGTTGATGGACACATGCCAAAATATTGTTTATTAGAGAAACACATCTCAGGTTGGATGACAGTTGCATGCTTCAAGTGTAAAAAAAAATGCTATTATTAATGCATATTCTATTCCGTTTATTCCTTAAGACCAAGAGACAAAGTGACTCCCTCTAATGGCCTTTTTACAGACAGTTTTATACAGTGGCCCCAAAAAGTATGAATGTCTTTGCATTTGCAACCAAGTATTATAAAGTTATATTTATTTGAAGGAAACATAGCACAAAAAAAGAACATTGACAGTTTTCATCATTTTAAAACAATAGATATACTGTTAAAAATTAGGATGAAAAAAGTGGATTCTTTCTGGTTGTGAAGAATAAATTGCTTCATAATATATACATTCATTTTTAATTTCATCTTAAGTGTCCAAATACTTTTTGGGGCTACTGTAAATCATTCAGACTGTCATGTCTGGTTCTTCACATACTGTACAACCCTCATAATATGGAGCCAGATCGGCCTCAAAAATAATACATTTATAAAACAAAATTCATAAATGCACAGCACAATTTACATTTACAAAATCCGATTCGTAAATTCAAAACACAATTCATAAATACAGAAGTAAAAGCATAAATATTTCCCCAAATGCTCACACAAAAGCATCTAACCTAAATAAATTTAAAATGTTTACACAAATATGTATATATCAAGTTCTTGAATTAATTAACAATCCACATTTATGAATGATGTTACATGTATTTATGAATCGTTGAACCTTCCTAGCAGGTTAAGATTCATAAATATCTTTTTTTGGAGGATGTTCCGTTCAGCCAATCGCGGTGAGCTTTTAATCCACCAATCAAAACACTCTTTACTGAACAGACTCAAGAAGCACAACGCTGCGCTTGTACTGTGCATTGTTTCTATGATTGGGTCCTTGATGTAAAGACATTTTAATGGGTACAACAATTATGTAATGTGTTCTGTTGTTGTTATTAGTAGTAGTAGGCTATCAGATTCGCAATAACTTTTGATCAGGCATTAAAAACAGCTATCACCACCGAAGGGAGATTTTGAACACACAAGCTGCTATTTATTGTCTGAAAGAACTAGACAGCTATAGCACATAGAAAGTGATTTATTTCACATTACATATTGAGAATATTCATTTTAGTGTAATTTTGAGAACTGTTTCACTCTGAATGGATGGTAACAGCTTTAGTGGCAATTAAAGAGGAGCGCTCAGTCTGGCATTTGTGGCTTTTCTACAGAATAAAGTGGCTGAAAGTACAGCGCTGCAGGGCAGATTCATTAAAAATGAGTTCAGCAGGGCTCATGCATACTGCACACAAACACATACTCAGTATTGCAGCTTCGTCCTTCTTTCATTGATGTTCTGGATGGTTCTGCAAGCAGTGGATGAACTCAGTAACAGGCCGACCCTCGTAACAGATTTCATACACTGCATTGAAAAGAGGAAATCTGTGGGAGGATAAAACGTTCAGATGTGTTTTTAATGTTTGGTCCTAATGTAAATGCACAAGAGGTTTGAATCTGAAATCAAAGTTTGAGTCTTACCTGTCCAGTACACCTTTGTTTTTAAGTATTGTGTGAACTTCAGCGGCTGTGGCTGGACCTTGTAGTTTCTGACCATTTAGCATTTCCTTTTCAAGCTCTTCAAGAGACTGAAACACAGAGAATCGGATGGCTAATGTGTATATATACTGGAAAAATTGGTTTACTCTATTTTTATTTGCACTCTTGTTTTGTGTATTATCATGCATGTTATTTGACCTACACTATTCTCATTATGTGTTAAGCTACAGATGTTTCGACAATGCACCCTTTTTGTCCTGCCAATAAAACATGCTAAAATGGAGTTTAAATAATTTTTTTGGGGGAAGACAAACTATTTTACATCCCTTTCTCTTTGCTGGTCTCATATATTTGAACTTGGCAACTCAATATGCATGGCTTCTGTTTTTTTGACCAGGTTAATTTGAATATGCTTTGACGTACCAATGACAGTATAGTAAGCTCTGTTTGACACATTATAGATTTTATTTAGTGCTGTCAAACGATTAATCGCATCCAAAGTAAAAGTTTTTGTTTACATAATATGTGAGTGTGTACATTTATTATGTATATATAAATACACACACATATGCATGTATATATGTAATTAAAAATATGTTACATTTATATATTAAATATATTTATATATGATATAATTTATATAAATATACAAGTAAATACATGTAAATATTTTCAAAATATATGCTGTGTGTGTGTGTCTTTATATATACATAATAAATATACACAGTACACACATATATTATGTAAACAAAAACTTTTATTTTGGATGCGTTTAATCGCGATTAATCGTTTGACAGCATTAATTTTATTATTATATATTTTATTATATTTAAATCCATTACACAAAATCCATTACCCTCCCAAATCAGAATTTTCTTTAAGAAAATGTCAGATTGTGTCAAAGTGTGATTGTAACAGTGATATTTTGGTATCATTTAGATACTATTAGTTTTTATTAATATTTTGAATCATTTTATTAATATTTTCAAATAATTTTAGTTTTAGTAATTTTTGTCATTTTTAGTAGTTTTTTTTAAACGTGTCTGTTTTTTTAAATAAATTATTTCAGTTTTCATTTTAGTTATTTTAGTACATTAAATAGTAAATTAAAATGACACATGTTGACTTAACTATCTGAAATAAAAGTTTATATATATATTTTTTATTGTATTAACAGTATTAACACAAAGCAAAAAGGTAATTTTTTTATGGTTTTAGTTAAAATTTTAGCTAACTATAATAATCCTGGACTGTGACATGCCATATTTAAATATATGTAAGCATGAATAAGATTTGACAGCTGCTGTGGGTAAGACTTACACTATAAAAATACTTTCTTACACAAAGCTATCGTATGACTTTAAAAGACTTGAAAAAGTCATTTGTTGTACTTTTTTTAGATTGACTGCTACATATCAGCTTTACATATGTATACGTTGCATTTATTCTCATGCAAATTAATAAATAATTTTCATTTTGGGGTGAATTGTCTCACCTTGCCAGTCTTGGCGAAGGCCTCCGCGACTTTCCGATTTCGTCCTCCGTAGCATGTTGTAATGAGATCAGCGACACCACCACAGCTCTCCAAGAAAGTTGCTGGAGATGCAGAACAACCGAGCAAAGCTGATCATCTCCATGAGACCCAGTTTGATCACCGCAGCCTTCATGTTGTCACCGAAACCCAAACCGTCACAGAAACCTGCTCCTACTGCCACTATGTTCTGGAGGAAGACAAAGAGGCTCTATATAATGTCCAACATGTTTAGAGCTGGATTACAACAAAAGTGTCAAAGTCACTGCATTTGCTACAACATCAAACCAACTGGAATTTACTTTAAAGACAACATGAGCACACTTTTCAAGTCATTTGACAACACAAATTTGTTAGTGGTAGTGTTACTTTAAAATGATTTAAATAATAATAACAACACTGCTAATTTAGAGGTGCAACTGTATAGACCTCCTGGTTTCATTGTTATGTGTTTATACATGTATATCATGCTTAAAGTACTAACCTACTTTATTTACAACAAAAGAGAATGTTAATTCACTGTAAAACTGACAAAACAGACCAGTATTACTGCTGTTGATAAAACAACTCATTCAGTTAATGTGCGTAAACATTGCATGCCAACCTAAAAATCGATTTAACTGTTAAACATGCTGGATATGAATTGTTTTACATATGCACTGCTAATTAGTGATGTTAAGTTCTTGAACGAATCGTTCTTTTGAGCCGGTTCTCAGGAAGTAACCGGTCGAGCCGGTTCACAAATCGAACTGAATCAAACTTTAGTTCCGGGTTGATGACGCAGGACGCACAGCCCGAAGTACCACGTCCAACTCAAAAAGAACCGATTGAGCCGGTTCAACCAACTGTCGAAGTTTGCCGAGGATTACCGAGGACTCCACAAGAACCGAATGAGCCGTGGCGAAGTTTGCCGAGGATTACCGAAGATTCTGATTGAGTTGACGATACTGTGCAAGCCTGAGGCGCGTACTAATATGCTTATTATGACTTATTAATTTACATTTTATTAAAACCTTAAAAAAAAACTTTGTCGAGTGATGTAAATACATTTTACAATAGTTTATTGTGCATGCATATTATATTTAAATTTGCTTAAGCGAAATCAAGGAGTTTATAAGACTGGTTTATTAATTCTTTATACTGTAGACATGTAGAACATATCCGCGTTTGTGCATTAATGTCTGTAATGTGTGCTGTAGGTGTGAAACTTTTAGGAATCTTAAAACTGTGACCACAAACACCATTAACTTAAGTGAATTATATGGCAATAATCAGCAATATGCTTTCACACAAATGTTATGTGTTGACACAAATTACTTATTTGAATTTTCCATTGATATAACATTGCATTGAGTTGTTAGAAAAGAGATGCGTAGAGACGTTATTGCTTGATGACGTCAGGAACCGGTGAATCGGCTTTTTGAACCGGTTCAATGAACCGATCTGTCCGAAAAGAACCGGTTCGCATAAATGAATCGGACTTTGCACCACTACTGCTAATTCCTTTGATGTTATGAGGTGTAAAATGGAGAAGTGTGATTAAGCAAACCTTCAGAGCACCACAGATCTCAACCACATCTGCTTCCTGAACGACCGTGACCCGGAAGTGATGCATCTGCATGAGTTCCTTAAGCAGCGCCCCCTGAGCTTGATCTCTGCAGCCTTACAAACATGAAACACATAAATGCATATAATCACCCAAAACAAAAATATGACTTCTCTAACATATTCTCGTTGCTTTTCATCAGCCTCACCAATGGTGGTTTCACAGAATTTCTCATCCGCCACCTCATTGGCGATATTTGCTCCCATCAACACGCTCATCTTGATGCCCAGCTTCTCGTGAATAACCTCAGCGATCAGCTTCAGTCCGTCCGGTCCTTCATCCACCCCCTAAACCAACCATATGCAGTCATCGCTAGCTATCTGTTTCAAATGTGACTGTCTTGTGATCTTAGCAACTTTCCTCTTTTTCTCTCAATTTAAGACTGCTGAGGAAATGGCACACAGTGCCTATATTCATGAGTGTACGGGACCTTGATGAGTGACATTCCCAGCGCATCCGGATGAACTGATGTGGAATCACAAAGAGCAGAATGTCAGCGCTCTTGGCTGCGTCGAGCAGATCTGGCACCGCCACCTGTGAGGGAGAGAGAGAGGAGGACGAGAGTGGAATAGACAGAAGAATCTGTTTGATACTGAATGATTAAACCTGGAGAAACATATTCACTATATGATTGGTTACACCTACAGTGCTCTGTTTTATGTGACTGACATATTGGCTGATTTATTTATTGTTTTATTTTGGCAGAGTTTGGGTCCACGTCAAGCCAAAACCACCTTGTTCACAAATAACTCCTTTTGGTTACTG